GTATCCCCGCGTTCAACAGGTGTACTTGGGCCACATTCCAGGATGCGTTAGGGTTAAGGCTTGTGTTGAGGTTATAATTTAGGGGGTGAAATATATAGCGTGCTGGAATTCCACTCAAGGCAGCCCGCATTACTGAGTGGGAATCCATATTGTCGTGCCGGCCCGTCTGGATATGTGGGCACTCTTCATTTCTATTGCAATGACCGGAAATCTATGTCCATCAATGATCAAAGTACTTTTAGACAAGAAGAAGAAGACACGATCTCTGGAACGGCAATTTTATTGTTCTCAGCTTTCGGCTCCACACGAGAGGCCATCGTCAGAGAAAACGAAAGCAACAACCATTGGCTGCGCGTAAGTGGGGTGGGGGAGGGGTTGGCACATGTGATTGGTCCATGCTCACGCCATCTTACCGTGTCTCCCTTGCGCGTGTCCTTGGAATTATGGCGTGTGACCATGTCGCCGTTTCTTGCCTCCTTGGCGAGGCAGCCTGCGTGCTTGGACAGGAACTGGGCCGTGGTTCCTGGTCGCGAGCACGGATGGCAAAATAACAGGGTGGTATATCCATATGCCTGTTGATGGAATTGGAGTCTGATACCCAGGCCTCCAGTAGTTCTCGCCCCGTCTTATTAGCGGTTCGTGCCATTACCAGTGTGCCCGAGAAGTCGAATTCGTGGCCTTCTTCTAGAGTGTGGTTAGCAATCTAGGACAGACGAAGTTCTGACATCCAGGGGGGAAAATTGCAGTCTAGTAAAGGAAATCGTCAAATCACCAGCCACCATATAATACGCCCTTGTAGCCGACAGTTAGTATTATGTCCAGTGCCCGTCATGAGAACGAGGTTGTCCACCCTGTCTCAGATGTGTAGTGGGCGAGCGTGCAGAAACTATTACCCTTTCTCTTTACCCCTGTCCTCCGTCCATCGTGACTCCCCATTGCGGATAATGGCATTTGATGGCGTACCGCCATAATCTACCGTATGCGATTGTACATAACCTCTTTCCGATTCAGACTCGTATGTGAATAGAATAAATAATTTTGCTCAGTTCATTTGGCTTCATATTTTCATTCCCAGACAAACAGGAGAGAGAGTATAGCCGGTGATGGCCGTGGCAGAAAGGGTTCGTAGGCTGGGGATTTGAGGTTTGCCTGGAGTAGTCTTTGTAAAATTTGCTCACAAACTATAGAAAGCCGTGGGTGTCGAAATCTGGAAGGCTAAGCTGGCTTGACTCAGCTCACTTGACTTCATAGTTTCATTCCCAGACGAACAGGAGAGGGAGTGTGGCCGGGAAATGGTCATGGCTGAAAGTGCCCGTATGCTGGGAAGGTGAGGTTTGCCTGAGGCAGTACTTGTAACATTTGATCAGGAACCATGTCGAAATCTGAAAGGCGGTTAAGTAAGCCGTGTATATGGGCTGCAATTCCTCCTTGTGAAACGCCCTAAA